CGTGTGAAGTAAGCGAAAGAAAAGTGTTGTACCGTGTCAGCTACGAAACGAAAAGTTGCCAAATGGTCAAAAGATAGCGCAAGGAGTACGTTACGGAATCATTATTGCAGGTGGGCAGTATTCAAAGGAGAATATAACTGCCGTAGCAGTAAGTACGGTGCATGTATTCTTCCGGATAGCCGGTTAAGCTGAAATGGAATCGACAGAAATCCTTGCGCTGTTTATGTTATGAATAAATATCTAAAACTATTAAGCTCGCTAGTATCTTTGTCTGAGTTTGAACACAGATGTACTTAGTTTAATATGTGAATGGGCATGTATTGGAGAAAGTTTACTTTGTGTTTCTATAATTATACAGTGGCTTATGCGAAAGGAAGGGATAAGTGACTGGTTCGTTTGATTTTTCCATGATGCCCTCCAAGGGATAACTGTTGTGATGGCCCATGGCGTATTTTCTTGGTCACCGAGATACATAATTTATAATATTTACCGGGTTCAATAAAATGGTATGATTTAGTTATATTGCTGAATTAAACGATTATTTTTGTTTTAACATGCAAGATTTAAATTAGTACTAATATGAATACCCGGCCTCCTCTGCCCCGGCAATATATAAATAAAAAAATCAGAAAGGTTTGTCCCTTGGTTAAGGCAGGGATGTGTACACATCCCTGGTGTGTAGGGAAGGTGTTTTGCCCCGTATCATCTGTACCGGCCACATTCCGGTACTAAATTCTATATATATTTTAATATATCTACTTTATGTTTATGTCGATCATCATTGTTGATATTTAATTGTAAATGTATGACGGGAGAAGGCTGTGATAAATTGTAAAAACTCGTGCCCCATCCCTTGTTTAATTTTATTGGCAACACATTTATGTTTAAAGCTAAATAAAGTTAAATTCTGAATATTGGCAAGTGTGCAATTAACTCCTAATGATGAATAATTACTGTTCAATAAGTTTGAATACGGACTCATATAACTTGGTTTCATAGTGCGGTAATTGTAGAAGTTGCAGTTGCCTAACGGCCCCTCTCTGGGAGCCCCTTTGGAAACCGTTTACTGCCTAGTCAGGTGACGTTATCGGCGCTATTTTTAGCAGGGCTTTCCCGAACAATTCAAGTGGTCAGACTTGACATTTGGAACGGACTATGAATATGGGGATAGCGAGGTAACATTAGTGCATACACTACATACATTCATTCAAAAACAAACTTCTTTTCACGTGATGTCCCTTTAATGTTGATGGACATGCTGACAAAATCAATGGACCATGAAAGGTAGGCCACATCCAGCACTTGATGCGTGGGTTGAGGTGTACTACCTAAGATGATACATCAAGCATTTGATCTTTCAGAGAAACTAACTTAAACACAAAAAATTGATGTTGACACCGTCGCCGGAAAAGAAACACCTATGTCTCGCTTCCACTTCGTGGCGGCGAGACACAAAAAAAGTGATGAAAAAGATGTTTAAAGGTAACTTCAACTTTTCTCACCTGTCGGTTGTAAAGTGGTCGTAGTGGGCGTGGTCGTTGTGGTAGGAATGGTCGTAGTTGTGGTGGGCGTGGTTGTAGTTGTGGGCGTGGTCGTGGTAGTGGTCGTTGTCGTTGTGGTAGTTGGAATTTCAGGATCTACGGTTGAGTAAAATAATGAGTCCTACATAGTAACTCAGATACACTAACGTTAGCGCTTGGCTTAGTCCTTACCATATGACTTATGATCCTGGAAATGTTCACAATAGCATATAAAACATTTGAAAAGTTTGTTTTATCAAATAACAAAAGTATAGGAAAGCGACAACAAGTAACATGACCTTTGACATAAAATTGTGACGTTAAAGGGATATCCTTGTCACAAAACCCTTCATGATCATATTGTTTGATATTACTTATGAACAACATGTCGAGAAATTGACAAGAGACAATGTTTCCTTGGCGTTTTTAATCAGTAATCGAGAAATCCTTAACTGTACAGCCGTACGTGTTAGCGGCAGCTGTCGGAACAAAAATGTCTTTCCAGCCGAAGAGTGAAGGTAACTTTTCGCATAAGTACATACATTTATTCTAAATCAAATAATCTTCCAACAGCATCTCAAACATCGTTATAAATGAGTAATCTATTTTACGTTTAAACCTATTGACTTCGTACTTTCTGCGGTTTGAAATCGTCCCTGTGACACCTCTAAGTGCGGCTAATTAAACCTGTTCGTTTTTTATTTGAATCCAAATGTGAACAGAAATATCTGATCAGAGGTACCAGCGATGATGTTATCAAGAACTATCAAATCGTTCTAGACCATCACTGGAGAAACCAACAGATACTCTATAATTATAGAGAACCAATTTTATTATCCACCCGTAGTTAAATATATGAACTGAATATACTTTCTGATAATTAATAATCAAATAAATATTGTAAACGCTAATTACTCAAATTTGGAAATTATGTATCATTTTACTTTTTCACCTTAATTAATGTTATTCAATTGTCCATGCTCGTCAGAATTTGTTAAAACCGTATTGAGCTGACAGCAGAGGCTTTTCTGTAAGTCCTACAGTCAGAATAGAATCTGTGTATCTGTGTATATATTATGATACTTTTGATTCTTACTTGCAATGTTTTGTGTAAATTCAAGAATGTGTTATGTGTGAACTCCGACTCAACTGATACTGTTGTCGGTCGACAGCGTAGTGCTGTACATGTTTACTTCTCACTGAAAGGCCCGGATATTGCCCTATTTCGGTCGAAGCTATTTTTACCACCGGTTTTCCCAAAAGATGAAACTGACCACACTGGACGTTGGCTTTAGGTCATGTCATTATCAACTACGTAAAATTTCGTCAGAAGATATATATTTTCAGTATCGACTCGATTTTCAGGTTGTCATTTGACTTAATAGTCCCTTTAACCTCTAAGTTATAACTGTTTTCCAAAGAGCTGTATACATACAGTTTTCGCTTATTTGTACGTGCGATGTCTCGTCAAATTTCCTTTATTAATACATGTATTGAAATAGTTTGTTTCAGGCACCAAACGCATAATAGCATTGATCTCTGTTTGGTTTTTTGACATCCACAGGGTATAATAAAAACATCGCGGCACATATATAAAAAAAAATGTTGACCTTTGACCCTAACGTGTCGCACTGGCCTTCACGCAAACAACCTCAGATAACTTTCCGGTACTCTGTCCAGTGATATTTTCTATATACAGGTACACATACCCTACCATATGACTTATGATCCTGGAAATGTACACACCTGTACGTGTCCATGATCATAAGTCGATGATCCTAGGTGTATGTCTATACATTTATTTTGAAATATTAACAGTAGTGAAGACTTGCCTGTTTTGTTTTAGATATAGAAGAGTTCACATGGCTTGCTTGGACACAGGAATGCCTTGCCTTTGTGTACTTACTCAGGTCTACAGTGGCCTGGATGGAGAAGAAGAACGGTTTGGTGATGTAGAAGAAGTAGGTCTGACCGACGACTAGTTGGTCTCCCCCGACGTATGACAACAAGGTCCCGTTCCGTGGCGAGGAAGCGTAGTTGTAGCTGATTGGACCAGTGGACTGGTCATAGCTCCAGCCGAGAAAGGTGCCGGAACTGAGGAGGAGGGGCGCTCCGACGATGTCCACCTAGGACACAGAGTGTCTATATATAGTCCCGAGTTATAACCTAATACTGTTTGGGAATCAGATTCAGATTTGTTTTATTATCACAAATACCAACTTAAGTGAACTAAGAAATAGCACGTTCATTAATTACTCATAATATATTTATAATTCACATCAGTTGGAAGATGCAGCACAAGGTATACATGTATTATTTTATATCAAATTAACGACGTACTATATAGGACAATACAGACTTCTTAATTCTTAGGTTTGACCAATTCATTATACATGTATATGAAAACTTCAAAACGTCCATTCTTTCACATAAGGACCGATCAAGTAGAACAAATTTTCTGTCGTAAAGTAGTTCTAGACATTCTAAAACATAATGTTTACTCCTCGTCATTTTGTTGTGTGTTACTTTACGTATATTTCCGTTCGTTTCTACCAATATTCTCCTATCTCCCAAATTTTGGTCTGAATTTACTGTCTGTACCCAACTATACGGCATTTTTAACCCATCGCCGTCTGCGATTTAGTAACTAAAGTGCAATTATGCTTTACACATTTTTCAATAATTTTGCACAGTTAAACCTGTCTAATCGGAGAACAGGTCTGCATGGTCCATCAATTTGCTTGCACAGGATATCAGAAAACGCGGGTTTAATTAGTGTTTTTTTTAAAGGGGATCATTGCTGTAGGTCTTATTAGACAGGTTTACAATGAACAATTTGACCATAGAAATATATATATATAAAAAACACCACATGTATCGCTTTATAACCGCCTATATATATTTATATGTTAAGACAAACCAATATATAAGACATAAAATATGTATCTTCAGGGATCCTTAAGAGATATCTCATAGGCTAAATGGCATATTTTTATCTCATGAGAAATGTTTTTAAAAAATAAGTAAGATATCTCACATAATCCTAATTATATGAGATACTCAATTTATGATATCTTAAAATATTGAAATATCATCTCTATCCATTACATATGTATATATTTACAGCTACCTATTGCACTTAAAGCGATTTAACATTCTCTCTGTTGAAGAGATAACTTTAATTGAAATAGAGACGCTACTCTAAAACTTGTGATTTAAAGACCTCTTTATTATATTTAAATAATGAAATTATACTTGGAAATATCTCCATTCTAATTAAAAAATATCTCCAATCTCTTTGCAGTCTCTGTTTGGATGTTAATCTAATGTGAGTGGTTTTTTTTTTACCTAACATCCACATACCAAGCCTCCTTTTTCTGTACCGTGGGGTACATTTACTTACCGTTTGGACACCCATGGCGGCGTCATACTGGAAAGGCTGTTGAAACACCAACGTGTATAGATTTCCGGACGGATCCAATTCCCACAACAGGATTTTACCTGTAAAGCCTGCACCGATGTCCCTATGGTTGTAGAACTGCACTTGTGTCAGGTTAGAAGGAAAAGGCAGGGGGAAGGCGAAGTTAATCCAGGCGGAAGACTCGCTTTGAGGTTCCTGGTAGTAATCATATCCTAGAGAAGTACCCGCCCCTACCGTACCTAGGACAGGCTCTACAAATCAAAAGTTCGGTGTTAGTCCTGTAAAGTTCCCGCCGGCCCGAAGACGTAACGGCACTGGCGGTCCAATGCGTATCGAACCTGGCGACTCAAAAGCAACACGAACCTGGGGCCCAAACGCACAGCGACTCTGGTAGACAACGTGTAACGACTTACTGCGACTCAACACGTTACTGTATTGTATTATGTACCCTGGCCGCCAAACGCATTACTACCCTGACGGCCAAACACATAACTACCCTAACGGGCCAAACGCATACCTACCATGACGGGCCAAACGCATAGCTACCATGACGGCCCAACGCTTTACTACACGTGCGACGCAACACGTATACGTAACGACCCTGGCGGCCGAAGTAGCTCACAACAACAACTCTGGTGGACCAACGCGTAACGACCCTGACGGAACAACGCATAACGACCCAGTTGGCTTTACGCGTAACGCACCCGGCGGCCCAACGCATTACATCCCTAGCGGCCCAAGCCACAATAATGCTCGCGACCCAATGCGTAACGACCCTGGCGGTCCAAGGCACAACAATCCTGGCGACCCAGCGCGAAATGATGGTCTGCATAACTGCCTTGATCAAAGTCACGACCACGATGCAACCCGACGCGTCATGATGTGTTCGGACATTTTGTATACGGGCCGCCAAGTCTTCACCCTTTGCGAGGACTGACAACTTGAAACGCGTCACAAATCTTTAGTCATTTGACATGGTCACGTGATGGTTCTTTTTTCTTTAAGACTTCCGGCTTACCAGTTTTACAGCAAAATAAGTGCAACAACAACACAAACACGTCGGATACACACCGCTACAAACTTCACCATTTTTACGAAAATAAGGAATACAATGAAGAATAATAATGTAACCTGATCAAATAGAAATGGTCGTGCTTTATTTGTATGCAACACATACTTAACACGAGTTCTCAATATATCTTAACCATCTCTGTATCACAGCGGTCTAGCATCCCTAAACATACCTCAACTGTTTTTTTTTATCAAAACAACATTGTAAACTAGAGCAGAAAAAACTTACGTGCGTCCGAACAGTGTAATCCTTGATAAATAAAAATGACAATCAGGGTCACCAAAACGTCTGGTAAGGAACGGCAACCTACAATATAGTAATGACATGTTACATTAAATACATCAATATTGTAATCCTGTATCCCTATCATACTATATATATGATGAGGTAAACACTTCATGGTGTGAATATAGTAGTGATTTAACTATCGTTATGGTGTGAATGTCATTATGATGTGAATACAATAATATTGTGAATATGATAATAAAAGTAATAATAATAATTCGAGGTTCTTATATGCCGCTTTATCAAAACCTAGTTCGTTGGCACGTCCCAAAGTCAAAATCTGGTAGCATAAATGTTTTTTTCTCTTTGAGGTCGGGTTTGGGTATATATGGAAATAGCAATGTGTCTCTCTGGAGAAAGATTTGGAAAGTGGGAGAGGAGCAAATTTTTTTCCACCTGAAGAGGCGGCAAGGGTTTTCATAGATGGACATGGCTGCATGTCGGTCAATTTTTCCAGACAGGATGCAAAGTAACTTGACACAACTTCACAGCGACATCTAAACATGTCCGTACAGGTACAGATAATAGACATTATAGTTCATGTTGCTCACCTTGTCTGTTTGTCATCATTCTGTTTATGAGACGTCTGTCGGAAATCATCACACAGCTTCGGCCCTTATCATACCTGTCGCCATTTTGTATAAATAGTTCACGCGCACGGTAACACGACCCGTGCAAGGTACCCGTATATAACGCAGCGCGCGCGCCCGAACTGTATCCAGTACGTGTGGACGACACACGGAGGTGCAGTTTTAATTCATTAAACTCGAGTAGCTGTTAGTACCGCTATCTCAACATAACTTGTCTACTGATAAAACAGTGTGTGTACTGATATTGTAATAGTTGTAATATATTTTTTCAGACATTTTAATACTTATTAAGTATTTTATCAGACATTGTACAAACTTCAGGAGTATTTTATCAGACATTGTAATACTTATCATTAAGCATTTTATTTTGTCAGACATTGTAATACTTATCATTAAGTATTTTGTCAGACATTGTGATACTTATCATTAAGTATTTTATCAGACATTGTACAAACTTCAGAAGTGTTTTGTCTGACATTGTTATACTTATTATTTAGTAATCGTCAGACATTGTGCATAATTATGAAAGTTTTTGTCCAGACATTGTAATACTAACTATGAATTTTGTCAAACAAATACTTATGAATCAAGAAGTAACATAGTTTAAGATATTGCTATCATTTAGAGCGAAATGCATATATGCAAAAACAATAGATTAAAGTGTTCTTGAAAATCCAGAAAAGATTACAATTGATTTTCAGTAAAAAATCAATTCGGGTTCAATGTACAGGAATAAAGATGACATTGGTTATAATAGAAATTGAGATGGCTGTAACAGACACGGAGTTGTAACAGACACGGAGTTGTAAAAGACACGGAGTTGTAACAGACACGGAGTTGTAACGAAGTTGTAACAGACACGTAGTTGTAACGAAGTTGTAACAGACACGGAGTTGTAACAGACACTTAGTTGTAACGAAGTTGTAACAGACACGGAGTTGTAACAGACACAGAGTTGTAACGAAGTTGTAACAGACACGGAGTTGTAACAGACACGTAGTTGTAACAGACACGGAGTTGTAACGAAGTTGTAACAGACACGGAGTTGTAACAGACACGTAGTTGTAACGAAGTTGTAACAGACACGTAATTGTAACGAAGTTGTAACAGACACGGAGTTGTAACAGACACGTAGTTGTAACAGACACGGAGTTGTAACAGACACGTAATTGTAACGAAGTCGTAACAGACACGGAGTTGTAACAGACATGTAGTTGTAACGAAGTTTTAACAGACACGGAGTTCTAACAGACACGTAGTTGTAACGAAGTTGTAACAGACACGGAGTTGTAACACAAACGGAGTTGTAACACACACGGAGTGGTAACGGACACGAAGTTGTAACAGATACGGAGTTGTAACGAAGTTGTAACGGACAGGTAGTTGTAACGGATACGGAGTTGTAACAGACAAGCAGTTGTAACAGACTCGGAGTTGTTACACACACTAAATTGTAACAGACACGGAGTTGTAACAGACACGGAGTTGTAACGAACACGGAGTTGTAACGAACAAGGAGTTGTAACGGGCACGGAGTTGTAACGGGCACGGAGTTGTAACAGACACGGAGTTGTAACAGACACGGAGTTGTAACGAACACGGAGTTGTAACGAACAAGGAGTTGTAACGGACACGGAGTTGTAACGGACACGGAGTTGTAACGAACACGGAGTTGTAACGGGCACGGAGTTGTAACAGACACGAAGTTGTAACGAACACGGAGTTGTAACGGACACGGAATTGTAACACACACGGAGTTGTAACAGACACGGAGTTGTAACAGACACAGAGTTGTGACGTAAACGGAGTTTAACGGACACGGAGTTATAACAGACACGGAGTTGTAACGGGCACGGAGTTGTAACAGACACGAAGTTGTAACGAACACGGAGTTGTAACGGACACGAAGTTGTAACAGACACGGAGTTGTAACACACACGGAGTTGTAGCAGACACAGAGTTGTAAAGGACACGGAGTTGTAACGGACATGGAGTTGTAACACACACGGAGTTGTAACGTAAACGTAGTTTAACGGACACGGAGTTATAACAGACACGGAGTTGTAACGGACACGGAGTTGTAACGGACACGGAGTTGTAACAGACACGGAGTTGTAACAGGCACGGAGTTGTAACGGACACGGAGTTGTAACAGACACGGAGTTGTAACAGACACGGAGTTGTAACAGACACGGCGTTGTAACGGACACGGGGTTGTAGCGGACATTGGGTTGGTTTAGTTTAGTTTAATCAGTATTCTATTTAATAAATAGGACAGGTTATTACAGGAAGGATTAGAAAACAAGCTTGAAGCGTATATTAACTCTTCTGGATGGAGTTGATTGTAACAATGATTGCGTCGGTTGTAACAGAGAGCGCTATACTGTAGATATATATATCCAGGTTGGATGGCCGAGATCTTGACACATATTTATTGTATAGTTGAAACCCATGCAACAATTATTTCATGACTGTGTTTTTCGCTTTTTACTGTGTTTAATTATGGGTGTTTTTTTGTTAAATCGCTTTCGACTGTGTTAACCCACGGTCTAATTGTTCCAACCACTTTCTACGCTTTTTACTGTTCTACATTCTAACTGTTTATCTATTGTTTTAACAGTTTTCTATAGCGTTTAACCGCTGCTTACTATGTTTAACCTCTGGTGACTACTGTGTTTATCTGCTATATACTATTTTAACTTCTATCTACTGTGTTTAACCGCTTTCTACTATTTTAAACTGTAACTACTTTCTACAAAATGTGTTAATCACCGCCCCTGCAGGTCGGGGATCAAGAGAGGAATTTACACGATGAATCCGTAAGAGGCGACTAATGTGGGAACCAATTTTAGAAGTTTCTTCTGTGATCTCTATTGGGGATAAAAACGCGGCTGATCATATAAGCCTGCTACAACAAATATTGCTACATCGCACATATTATTCTTTTCTCTCCTTTCTAACTAAGTTTTCGTTTATCAAAACCTTACTTAAGTATTGATGTTTGACAAGGCAAGGCATAGTATGGGTTTCTACACCCTAGACGAGACAAACTCAAAGGCCAGTTCAAGAAAGTACTGGTCTCTGCTTGACGTTTAGCTATACATTGATGGCGG